CGCCGAGTGGACCTGGGAAGGGAAGAATGAAAAGCCAACCTTTTTCCAAAGTTAACTATTTTAGAATATTTTCTTCCTTTACACCAGGCTGTCTAAATTAAAGGTATAGTCGACGATCTCTTACCTCCTTTTGAGGAAAATCCTTCTCTATACCTTTAATTAATTATGGCTCTGCATGATATTGATTGATTGACTTTATTGAGCTCACAGTGGAGAAAATTACTGGTTTACATCGGCTTAAATAGTCAAAGAAGAAAAAATGTGCATGGGATAAATACAGTGTGTCCACATATGACAGCTTTTTTAGTATTTTATTTTATTTTTTTATAGTAGGATCATTATACCAGGTTATTATTATGATGTATACACACATAGATACACGTTTGTCATTGATACACACCTTTTTCCCTTAAAAACCTAAACTAAAACTAGTTCTGAAAAGAGCTTAATTACTGTATTTGTCATCTTTAACATTAGTAAATTAATGTAAATAATTAGCCATTGTATTTTTTTTATCAGTTTGATTAATATACCAAAACTTAAAATGATGAATTTTTTAGAACGTTCCACTAAAGAGAATTTATGCTGCCACCCACTGGGTTAGAGTGGAACTGCCTTTCTAGAGGTGATGATTTTTTTTTCCATAAAGGACCATTAAAGGCCTGAATTCCAACTTTGCGTCTGATCGTGTGGGACGAGGTCGTGGCGTTAAACTCTCGTTGATGTTTCGGTTTGGCAAGGTGTGAAAATGACCTAAATCTATGACCATCTCCTCCCCTGGCCCCCCCTTCTAGCTCCGCCCCTGCTCATCAGTGACCATCAAGTAAACAAATTACTGTTTAGATATTCATTTGATAGCAAATCTGTTGGGTTTTTTTCTCTCTAGGTTTTAGGTCTCCTGAGGGTCCGGTTCCACCTAAACCCAAACCCAGAACCACCGTCTCTGTGAGTCCCTGCAGCTTTTCTCCAGCTGTTATCAATCTGAATATAATGGAGGTTTGGTACCTGAGGCTGAAGTTTTTCCTTCCTGATGTTTGTGGTTCTATAGAAGCAGAAGCAGCAGAAGGTGAAGGCCATCTATGCCTGCTCGGCTGACAATCCAGACGAGCTGACCTTCAAGGAGGGGGAGGTGATCGTGGTGGAGGGGGAGGAGGACAGCGAGTGGTTGGTGAGTTAAAGGAAGCAACACTGGAAACAAACCAACCTTATTTTTTAAGTGATTAATATGCCATTATTGACCCATTTTAAAGGAAAAGTCCAGTCAGAGAGGAATAATCGTGTCCATTAATGAATTTAAAGCAACCATGAAGAATGTAGTGATGGAGATATTTGCTTGTTTTTCCTGAGATGCTCAATGTCTTTCAACATACTGCTCTGATTTTATTATGAAAAATGTAATATGTTGTAAATATGTATGAACTTCCTGTGGTTTGGCTGCTACCTTGGCCAGGTCTCTCTTGAAAAAGAGATTCTGAATATTAATGGGACTTCCTGGTTAAATAAAA